TTCATATGGCTTCTTTGGGGCCGGGCGCACATGTTTCAGATGGATCGTCATGGGCACCTCTAATTAGGTAAGTATGCAACAATGACGTCAATTTCGCAGGTTCTATGGGGTGTCGGTTTTACCTCTGACAGTATATATATCATAAAAATTTAATATCAATGATTTGATTGTTATGAGCTTCGATATCCTTTAATTAGACGTACAGCTTTTACAACCAAAAATAGTGAATCCAAATTTCGAACAAATTATTATAAAGTTTCAATAAACAATGGTACAGAGCGAAATTTATAAGCAATTTAGGTGGCAAGTGTAAGTAAGATAGATTGGGAAAAAAAATTTATTCCCATTTATATAATGTAAAAATTAACTCTGTAATTTTCTAATGGTGGTAATGAAGAATCTATTCATGCTAAGACTTTGGATAAATAGAAAAGGATACAACCTGTGCAACTAAAAGTATGCGACCGATTTTTTATATATAAACGTACTTCTGGTTAATTTATCGATCGATGATCTTAAAAATCTCTTATTATTAAAAAAATAATATAACCATACAAATGAAATGAGATCGTACTGTTATAAAAAAAAGATTGTCGCTAGAATATTTATTCATATTGTTTGCAAAAACAATGCACACTAGTGTGCATTACTTTGGAATTTTGTGAACGAGCATATATGGGGGGGTGTCAGTAGAAACCAAGCAAATTGTTCCTAAGTAAATTTTTTTTAAACTTTAAAGTAAAATATCTCAACAACTATCAAACCAAATTTGATAAATTTTTTTTTATTTTAATTCTATATAGTTATAGAATTAAAATAAAATAAAAATTACCAAGTTTGGTTTGCTAGTTGTTGAGATATTTTAATTTAAAATTTTAAAAAAACACACTAAAAACAATTTGCTTGGTTTCTACTGACACCCCCCATATATACACGTGCACGCGCCATTACTAACAAACAGGCACCATTCTGTTCAACAAGCCTGATCCACACCACACAATGAACCTATATGTATCACAAACCCAAACCATTATGAACATTACCGAAATTGCCCGTGCCACGACTTCTTATATGGTTGTTATTTAACGTATAATTGTCCATAAGCTTAAATCAGTAAATTACTTAATTTTAGATATGTAAATTAAAAATTAGAAAATTTATTAATAAGACATTTTTTATATTCGATCAGATCAGTGTGGATCATTAAAAAAAAACTTTTGGGCAAAAAGATGCAGATTTTCGATGAATTATACTAGAATGGCGAAATAATTTATTAGAAGTTAAACTAATTGTTTTTTTTTAAAATATATTGGAATGAAATTTGTATTAAATAAAAGTTTAAATTAGGAATTTTATTAAGATAGAAAATAGTAATCTGAAGTACAGAATATACATAAAGATTAAATATGAACATAAAGTTTAAAATGCTACAATGCTAAAATATTGCGACAATGTTAAAGAATCAAAAGCGCCATTGATAAATGCATTTCTTTTGCTTAATAGCTATCTTGCTTTTCTGAATAATTATTTCTTCATCAAAATCTTTTAATATGAGGCAGGTGTTTCTTCTGCTGTAGGTTGATCACCATAACCAGGTTGACTACCGTAACCAGGTTGACTACCATAACCATAGGAAGTTGAAGCAACCACAGCACCTACAGCACCTACAGCACCCGCATCTAGATATTAAATAAATAATTATTACATTATTTTTATTATAAATATTTTTAAGAAATTTACTTTACACATTACCTGCTACAACATGTTTTTTACGACGAAAATAATAGTACATTCCAGCACCACATAATGGAACAAAAAGTAAACCAATAAGTCCGAGAGTAAGAGATGAAACTATAATTTGACTGGGAGGTGGTGTGGTAGGAGCTGTAGCTGTAATTTGAAATCCACTAGTACTAGTGCCTCCGATGAGAGTAATGTACTTAGTGGTAGTAATGATAGTACAAGCAGATATTGATGAGATGGATGAAATAGGAGTAGGAAAAGTAGAAATGCTGTTGCATGGTGGACAAGTAGTAGGAGTGACTGTTACAGTACTTATGACGCTGCAAGATTGACCAGAAGGATTTGGAGGACATATACCATAAGTAGGAAGCCATTTGTCGCAAAGAGTAAAAGTTGGTTGACAAGGTGGGCATTTTCCACAGTCCTTACATAACTCACATAATTTACATTTCTCACATAAATCACATTTATCGCAAGGTTTGCAAGGTTTACTCTCGGGACATTTGTCACAAGGTTTACAATCAGGACATTTTTTGTCGCAAGGTTTACTCTCAGGACATTTGTCACAAAGTTTACAATCGGGGCATGATTTAGATGGTTTGTCGTTAGATTGTTTTTCGTTAGAATGCATTATTAATTAGTAGCAGTACTTTAATCAATTATTTTTATTCTCCTTTTGTAAACCTATTACCAAGAACTATTTCTAAAGCATTGCGCAAGAAATCTGAAAATGGGCTAGGTAACGAATTTATAGCTTTTTTTTCAACATGTTAAAAAAAATGAATTTTGGATTACAAAGTTAAAAATAGTTGTGAAACTTGTACAGAAAACATAATTTATATATCTAGGGCTTGATTTTTCTAGCGTAAACTTCGTTATCGTGTTTTACTCGATATTATTATCATTTTTGTATTTTGCGATTATCTTAAATTTGACCATGTATTACATTATTTCAATTTGTAACGGTAATATTACCAATTTTACTATCTTTATATTTATTGAACTTTTACCTAAATTAGTATGTATTACATTGTAATTATTATTTTAAGAGCCTTATATGTTAATAGTTTTGTTATTGCTACAAACAAAAATAGTTAAATGTCTCTCAAATGTTCCCTTTTTAGTGTACCACATGCACGCTAATTACTACTTAAGTAATATGAATTAAAAAAATCCATTGAAGGAATTGCTGTTGTTTACACAAAGGAACAATTATGCACTATAAACTGGAAAAGATAACATTTTAAAAAAATCTCATTATAATAAGATTATAAAGATGTTTTGGTGGATATTAACACTAAAAACGCCATTGAAAATTATATCCTGCGATATGAAAGTATATCAAATGTATAGAACATGAATTAAAAATTTTCTTTTCATTGCGAACGTTATTAAGCTATTTACGTAAAAATAACAATATTGATATCATTAATTACATTCTTGTAATAAAATTTATGAAAAAAGAAGTTTGAAAATTACAGAGCGTTGTGAAATTTTAAGGTTGACTGAAGTATAATTGCACTATTATTGTTGAAATTTCTTGCTACAAAGTCATATGACATATTTTATCATTGAAAGGTCTTAAAACAGTTCCACTAATATCGAGTTAGTCGAAATATTTTGTGTAAACACATTTAAAATACATTTAAAATACAAGGTCTGGGTTACCTACCCATTTACCGATCCGCATAATCAAATTAAAACTTCAGACAGAATAATAATCTTCTGATTCATGCTTCATGTAAACTATAAGTTGTTTTATAGTTATTAGAATTAGATATATCTATAAAATTAATATGTCTTTAATATTATAAATATAGTATTTAGTAGAATACTGTTGGGTATAGTTATAAATAATTTAGTTTTGTGTTTAGTAGTAGCAAAGTATTATGACAAAATGAGGGTATAAAATAAATGATAACGTATTGATAATATATATTATCTGTTTATTTGTTCTTTAAACTGAATTCAAATAAATAACCTTGTATTTACTTTTTTAAAATTAATTCTTTTAATAAAATTTTAACAAGTAATTTTTGTAATATACTTTTTAAATAAAAAATTTTATACAAAAAACATTACAGATAAACAAATTACTTATGTTATTAATACAGTTATAATCCCAACATTAGAATACAGAATATATAATATTATTCTCCCCAAAACTATATGTAATCGCATACTGGCCAAATACCTTACAGTTGCTAAACACAAATCTCATCTTGCTCGATCAATCCCTAATAGTACAATGCTTCATCCCTATCTATACAATATATATAATATTTGGGATATACAATTACAATACCATATTACTACCTTCCTTCAACAAATTAATGATTCCTATTTACTAGGTGTTTCTACATATATTAGATTATAACAGCTTCAAAACAACCTTTGGTCTACTATAAACATTCTTGAACATCCTCAACCTAATGTTGATGGTCAAGATAAATATACTATTAACTTTAAAATTATTCAACTATTTCTACAAATTGCTGTCTTTATCAGAGCTAATAGTAATATATCATGGCCAAACACTATCTATTATCAGCTTCAACCTCTTAAACTTATTCTTCAACATCACCCTAAATATACAATCTTTAAAAAACAACTTAGATGATTAAACCTACTTTATCTTAAACAACTCTGCACCTCAAACAACACTATACTTCTTGAATGGCTATACTTATTATCAAGAATTCTTCATTTACCTAAAAGCAGAAAATCGATCTAGTTTACTAAACTTGAAAATTCTATTATAGAAAATCATTATCATTGCTCTCTCAAACCTCAATATCAACAGCAAGGAACTAACCCCTTTGCATATAATACATACAATATTTCCAAAAAACATAAACCTTGGCTAATTACTTTTAATAATGAAAAATCATTATAGACAAAATCCGTAAACATCTTACAGATTCTAACGAAATATCAATCACATATTAGCAATCAGATATTAATACAAATAATACTGATTACTATCCACTTCAACAGATTAATCTTGTTCTTTGTTCAGGCTGTCAACTTAACTCACAACGAATAACTACATCATGCACCATTAATACTTCACCTATTATATTGGCTCAATTTTTTGGTAGAATTATCTCAAACTTAATTAAAATAAATGCAAACTATTTAGACCTTCTTAGCTCTGCTGCAATTAAATGGCCTTTGCCAAATTCTTACCACTACCATTGCCTTCCATTCCTATTTCTAACTCCATCTCATCTGCAATTTTCGAAGCAAGTGAAGCAACTAATAAACTTAACCAAATATCTTCTAATAACCTACTATACAACTCATTTAACTTTTATACTGATGGTTCAATAATTGGTATAAGTACAAATAACTGTACCATAGGTATCGGCTGGGTTCAAATAGATTTTAATAACCAAGTTATTTACAAATTTACTGCCAAAGTTTACATTTGGCCATCATCTTACAAGGCTGAACTTTTCTTTATTCTGTCTGCCATCTCAACTACTTCCTGAAATTCTACAATTAACATCTATACAGATTTACAATCCATAATATCAAAATTTATTCAACTTAATCAATCATCTTCAAATCTTAATAAACTCTTTAAATTCAATTCTTGGCCATTATGGCATACCTTACTAAACATTATTAAATCATACAAACTAAACATCATCTTCCATAAAGTTCAAGCCTACTCAGACAACACTCTTAACAATCTAGCAGACTCACTTGCTAAGCAACATATAAATGAATCCCCATTATACTTTAACTATATAAATATTCACAATTTATATTATTTATTATTCTTTGAAACAGAAAAATTTTCTGTTAAACTTCCTACCAGATATTTTGTTAAAAGTATGTATAAAGCTTACAACCTTGCACTATAGTCATTATAAAAATGAAATGATAAATGAACCCCATTAGCCCACTACATTGACTGGAATTCAACCTGGCTATACTTTAATCATAATCAAAAATCTATTCACAATCTTACTAATTTTAAATTTAACTAATCTAAATTATTTAAAATTAAAATACTTCTTAATGAGCTACCTACTTAATATCTCTATTATAAAATCTACCCTCTAACCTTTCATGATGCCAATTGCTTTTACTGCAATTTAATTATATTACCATTATATTGGTATACTTGTGCTAACACTTCTTTGCTTAATAGCATTATTTTTAATACAATAACTTACTGCATAAATTCAGCCAATTTAGACTTTTCTAATAACAAAACTAAAAAACTTATTCAAAAAATTAAAGACCATTTAGCTTTTCAAGAAACACCTCTTTTTCTATCCTCACACTGTTAAGAAATTACTCTTAAAGGACTTATTCCTCTATCTCTAATTAAAACTATTCAGGATCTAAAAGTTTCATACAAACTAGCATTAACAATTACAATTAATATTCTGCTTGAAATCAACAAACAAATCTATGAACAATTATGGAAATCCTACTGTATTAATTTTTTAAATTGGAAAAAACAACAACAAATAATATATACATAGACTGAGCAACAAACATCATCCTCACACAGTAAAAATAATACATATGCTTATAAAAATTTTATATATTCTTGTTTCTGTAGTCAACCTGACCAACTTCATTTACATACTGAAATCTGTCCACTTGTTGGACAGGCCTTTAGAAAAATTAGTACTTGGGCCACTTTGTGGATCAAGTATCATACAACCTCTAATTTTATTTTAACTATAA